CCCCCCCCCCCATACACACCCTTTAAAAGATAGCAACACTTAAAAATTGTACATTACTGTGTTTACCACGTCATCTCAAAATTATTTGTCATTATATGTTACTACTTATAATGGCTGGCTGGCTACTTATAATGGCGGGTACCTGATGATGACAAAACCTTGTCGAAACGTTGTACATTTGCTGTTATGTTAAACTTATATTAAAGTTTTTCTTCATTACCCATTCAAGCCGTCTCCAGCCATTATTAGTCTCAAAATGGGTTCCTCGTCATCGAATGTTACAACTTATTTCTTATACACGTGATTGAGTTAATGGTAGATAAACTTAACTGACCTCTCCAATAAAGAAAGACGGTGTGCTATCAGTAAATAACAGTTACACTCCCGTTATATTATTTCTTGAGAATAGAAAAAGTAATCAGTTTTTGATTTCTTGTTAAAATGGGAGACGTTAATCAGTTGAATACTTTGTCACTACTAAATCACTTCTGTCAACACAGTTACGAAAATGTGTTAACTATATAAGGAAGAACATACTAGGAAGTTTTTTCAACTGGACTGCCTTAATTACATTGACTACACCTTCTAATTCTCGTTCAACCAACATGTCATTATCGAGATTAAATTTCTATGCTAACTGTGCTCAAAAAGTGGTTTGTTGTAGCGTAAGAACTACAGCAAATTTTCACCTCGTTGATTATCCTCCAAAATAACTGACAAGAAGAGAAGGCAAATAGATTTAGATATAATGTATCGCTTATGTTTTTTACAATTTTTTTTGGAAAGTCCCTTGAAAAGTAAAAATAAAATCACATCTACTCATGAAAATGAATTGGAAACTAAAGGTACTTTATCATTCGTAAGTGTGCTTATGTGTATGTAAAACTCTCTGATGCTAAAGTCCCTATATTCCAAAAACATGACTAGCCCATTATCTGGCATGTTTCTATTCCTTTCAAAATATATATTTTTTAATAATATATAGACACACATCGAAACACAGAACGGAATGAAATAAAAATGCCTTAAAAACATTCGTGCACTTTATTTTTGAGACAGAACAAGTTTGGGGTATTGAGTAGGTCCTTAACGTTTCATTATTTTAGAATATACACTGAAATAACTTAAAAGCATTAAACAGTTCGATTCTAACCTTCACCAAAAACATTTTTTTGGAAACAAAAACAAAAAAAATAATTACAACATAAATGGTTAGTTTGTATAATGAAGCTAAACTATAACCTGCTGAAGTTTTTATTAAACAAAGTTACACAATGGGTTATATGAGCTGTGGTCACAGCCGGTATCGAAACCCGATTTTTAGCATTGCAAGCCTTTAGACTAAATGATGAGACACCGGGGGTTGTTGAAGGTAGATAAATCTCTATTGTAAGTTAAACATAAACTTGCATGTATGTATAATAATAATAACAATAAGAAAGTTTCAGAAATTTTACTAACTTTTTCATTACAACGGAAACTAGCAACCCAAATATTTATATTTTATCTTTGTTAGACCCCATCGTTTCTAAGCAACATTCCCAGATTACAGCTCCAAGAGCAGATTTCGACTGTTGTGGTGCTATTTTAATATTTTAGAATCAGAATTGTCAGGGCAAACAAAATTTAAGATTAAGAAGAGTTCACCAGCACATGAATTCGTTATTATTAAAACCAAAACTAAAACAGAACAGGCCGATCATTATTTAGTTAAGTCGCACAATTTTGTTTAGTTGTTTACACAATCGATGCCCGGTTTAATTAACTATAGCTGTTCATGGTCTGAATGCTTAAGCTTGATTACCACTTTGCTAATTTATACACATCTATTGTAAAATCTTTACAGAAAACGCTGTCTTCGAGTGAGTATGAATTGGTGATACCGTTTCTCTCTTTTGGTATAAACACAAACTGCAGAGGCCAGATCACTTGTGTTCGACTTCCCATGACGACGACAATGAGTCTAGAAGGAATCACATATGCGCCTAAGAGTCGGAAAGACGCCGTAGAATATTATCAGCGAGTCTTAATTGTGCTGCAGATGACTCACTGGTACACTAACAATGGAAAACTGGTTCGATTTCTCACATGATGCTACTTAAGTTAATCCCATAGTAAAAGTAAAGGAAGGAAAAAAACAAAAAATATTTTAATAAACTAGATTATATTGGTTCCAGAGCCACATAGCTCTATTGTTTTGAAAATTAATGTTGCCAAAATCTTAACATTTTCCCATCAGTCATGATCTTGAAAAAGAAAGTCCGACATATGATGGGGGGAGGGAATAACATGTACGTCAAACGATAAGAACCATCCAAACACAATGTTAAGATTTCAATGATGACTTTTTACCTATAATCAAGCTAAAATATTATGACTCATTGTTAATAGTTTAAGACAACTTATGAAGAATGTATAAAGTTTATGACTCATTGTTAATAGTTTAACACAACTTATGAAGAATGTATAAAGTTTATGACTCATTGTTAATAGTTTAACACAACTTATGAAGAATGTATAAAGTTAAATGATTGTGCATATCTATCATGGAATGTTGCTATTTCATCTTTGAATTAAATGGTCACAGTAGCCATAGATATACCCCCCCCCCCCAATACAAATTTTTCACCACCTAGGATAAGCATGTTATATCAAAACCAAGTTTGGATCCTTACCACGGCCAGTCATGTTCTATCTGACAATCGTGCATCTAGACAATAGCCCTCGAGCATTGTTTCCATTTCAAAATTCTTTGTTCTAAGGCTGTACTGCTAAAAGAACACCACTGCTTCCTGCATGAAATCCATATTTTACCTAGTGTACGGGAACGAAGGTTTCCTAGTGTCCGTTTCAACAGAAATCCATAAGATTTGCATCAAATGACTTGACCAATATTTCTTCATATACAATAGCATTCATATCCGTTTCATTCTCCAGCAGTTTGGAATATGCGACAGTTGAACAGATACATCATTGAAGGAACTTGCGTACACCTTCAAACTGAAATATTTATGGATGCAAAAGTACATCCATGTGTGTGGTAATAAGTCATTTCAATGGAATTAGTTATTTTATTTACTTACTAGGATAGAGACAGTGACTAAACTGTTCAGGCCAAGTAAAATAAATTTCACAAATCACTGATGCTAATTCGGGTTGCTGACAAAGATGGCTAGTGAGTTGGAACCAGGAAACTCTATAGTACCATGTTATCGTGGCAGCGAGTTGGAGCAAGGGGTCGCTACAAACCATGTTATCGTGGCAGCGAGTTGGAGCAAGGGGTCGCTACGAAACCATGTTATCGTGGCAGCGAGTTGGAGCAAGGGGTCGCTACGAAACCATGTTATCGTGGCAGCGAGTTGGAGCAAGGGGTCGCTACGAAACCATGTTATCATGGCAGCGAGTTGGAACCAGGAGACTTATGGTACCATGTTATCGTGGCAATGAGTTGGAGCAAGGGGATGCTACAAAACCATGTTATCATGGCAGCGAATTGAAGCAAGGGGACCAGGGGAATTATACCATGTTATGCTTGAAAGTTGAATATTTATGTTTATTACATTAACAAATTACAAATTTTCACATAGTATTCAGTTTAATCATGTTACTATAGTGAATATTTCGAAAACAAGAAATCCATTATGCCCTGTACAACACCTCACAGAACATGTAATACAACCTTTAAGAACATATGAAAAACTTAATTGTTTAAACTTAACAAGGTAAATTATGAATGGAAATGATAATACTAAGTGGTAATCAGTTTTAAGTGTTAGAACAAAATCTATTACAGCTTTATTACTAATAATTCACTAAGATTAGAGAAAGTTTTTAACTGAAAAAGGCTGGTGCTCTCTCTCGAAGATATGCAG